CTAATTTCTGGCTTATTTTAGCTTATTCTGTCTGAAAAAAAGCACAAGGGTTTCGATTTTGCAACAGTACAATTATAGTAGAGACCCTTTACTAGAGACTGATCATTCGGCACACAAATGGCGGCGATAAATCGATAAATCGATTCGATCAGTTGTCGATTTCGTTTGTTGATCGTTATATCTGAAGAAGTGTATTACATGTAGGTAGGAGAAATAGCTTGTAAGTATACATATTGACTGAATTTAGGTATTAAAATAGATTGTTATTTATATAGAATATTTTCCAATTGCTTAACACATCTTGACACAAACGTAGCAAATTAGTTCACACATTTTTAGTGTTAACAAAATAATTTAATTCTTTTAAGGTTATGAAGTTATCGTGCTTTCCAGCAAGGACATAGTCAGACACGGTATAACACAGTGAATCATTACATCCTTGTTATTTATTACATGTCAAACAAGGAAAAACGATGCTTGTGATCGTTGCGAGCGTCAAGTGGAATGCACCCAAAGATATTAAAAAGTTCATAGCGTTTGAGCAACACTTTGAAAATTAAGCAAGAATATTGAAATTCATGTAAAAAAAATAAATATACCATGTTCGCGCTTAATTTTCAAGGTATTCTCTATCCGCCTCGAATTTTTTAATAACATTAATATATTCAAGATGTCAAAGTCTATAAAAAAACATTATTACTTTTGCTTATACCTTTTTAGGCAGAAATCAGTTGCTTTTCGCGCTCGGCTGAACAGCGTTCCTTATTGGCGCCGCCATTAGTGTGCTGAAGTCATGTGCATCAATCAGCAAAAGTCCCGAAATGATCAGTCTCTAGTAAAGGGTCTCTAAATTATAGAAGTCGTGCGCCCCTTTGCATTGACTACGGCTGCTTTCCTTTTAGGAGACACAGCCGACACACTTGACACAAATCGACACACGTCGCTTTCCATTTACAATTTTGTTCAAACTCAATCGACACACTTCGCCTCTGCTCGGGAGCAGAGTCAGAGTGTGTTTCGAGTCTGTTCAAGTGTAATTTTGATGAATTAAGTGATATTAGAACGCACTCGCAAACCAATTTCCATCATTTTGTTCTGTTTTCAGCATCTGGAGACACGGTAGTGTCTCAGTACTTAGTCGACGAATGCTAAAAACTGCATTGTTGTTAATTTTC